AACCTCCCAAGCAGCTGGGACTACAGGCGCCCGCCACAACACCTGGCCATTTTTTGGTTGCAGTCATCATTGTTGTTTGGCGGGCCCGGGCTGGGGATTCGAACCCACCACCTTAGGTGTACGTGGCTGGCGCCTTAGTCGCTTGAGCCACAGGCGCCAAGCCAAGAATATTTGTTAACAAGTGATATTATAACCACCTCTTCAATCATACTACTGGTTAACTTGAAAATGTAATGGTAACTCTAAAAACTTTATTTATTATTATTATTATTATTTGGAGACAGAGTTTCACTATGTGGTGCTCAGTAGACTGCTGTAGGATCACAACTCACAGCAGTCTCTAACTCTTTTTTTTTTAAGTTTTTTTTTTTTTTTTAGATTTAAACTTTTATTTATTTATTTAGTTGCCATTTTTGGCTGGGGCCGGGTTTGAACCCACCACCTCTGGCATATGGGACTGATGCTCTACCCTTTTGGACCACAGGCGCTGCCCACAACCTCTAACTCTTTTTCTTTTTTTTTTTTTTTTTGCAGTTTTTTGGCTGGGGCTGGGTTTGAACCTGCCACCTCTGGCATATGGGGCCAGCGCCCTACTCTTTTGAGCCACAGGAACCGCCCCTAACATAGATTCTTTTTGCATTCTTCTAAATAACTTTTAAAAAAATGTAAGAGGATTAGATAGGACTGGGCCTGGAAAGTCAGTCCGTGGTTTTATAAAATTTGTGTAGAAGGTTTTTTCCTGAAGATTATGTAATATCTCTGATGCTATAGCATATAGCTATCATATATGATGCTGATTTTTGAGCCTTAACATCTTTTTTAAAAGTCTCTATTTTTAAATAAGAAAACAGAACAGTGGCAAAAAGTTGACATTTTGAAAATTTGCTTAAATTTTATAAATTATGGAATACCTAATATATATAAAAGAATATATTACACATATACGTAAAGAATAAAAATAAACACTTTTGTGCCCACTACCCAGCTTAAGAAGGAGAATACTACTCTCACCATTATCTTTGATGCCTCTAGTTTGCCCTCCCAGCAACACAGATGCTTATTATCCCAAGTTTTGTTGGTCGTTCATTCCCTTGTTTCATTTTGTAGCTTTATGACAGATGTGGCCCACATAATATATGTTAAATTAAAAAAACTTGTTAATAACCTTTCTATTTTTCTTCACAGTGGGAATGTAAGACTGATTTAGACGTTGCCTATAAATTTGGAAAAACTGTGGTGAGCTGCGAGGGCTATGAATCCTCTGAAGACCAGTATGTACTAAGAGGATCCTGTGGCTTGGAGTATAATTTAGATTACACGGAACTTGGCCTGAAGAAATTTAAAGAGTCTGGAAAACACCATAGCTTTGCCGCTTTCTCTGATTATTACAACAAGTGGTACTCTGCAGATGCCTGCAGCACGGGGGGCCTGATTACCATCGTGGTGCTGCTGACTATTGCCTTTGCAGTGTATAAGTTGTTCCTTAGCGATGGTCAGTGTTCTCCTCCACCATACTCTGAGTATCCTCCATTTTCCCACCATTATCAGAGATTCACCAACTCAGCAGGACCTCCTCCCGCAGGCTTTAAGTCTGAATTCACAGGTATGTTTCCCTTGTCAGTGGCAGGAAGTGGGGTGGATGTGAGGAGGTGAATCCTCCACTCATTTCTGCAATAGAAAATGGTTGCATTGGGAAAGATTGGTCTTCTGATTTTATTTATTTATATTTTTGACCTCTTCTGCTGTATGAGGGCATACTGTGATTACTATTTTAAGGATGCCTGTTTAAGTTGTAGATCATCTTAATCAGGAAAACTTGATTAGCTTTGGTAATGAGGATTTACCTTGACCCCTGTATCACACTGTATGTAAAAATTAATTCATTAAGTATTATAGATAACAATGTAAAAGGTGAAACAGTTAAATTTCTAGAGTAACACAGGAGAATATTTGTTAGGCAAAGATCTCTAAAATAGCTATAAAAGAAAAGTTGGATAAATTAGACTTTATTTAAATTAAGGGCATCTTTTCATCAAAAGGCATGATTGAGAGTGAAATGGCAAGGTGAAGACTGGGAGAAGATATTTATAAAATGTAATTCTAATATCTGTATATACACATATATCTCTGGACTTGTATCTAGAATGTATAACGAACTTCCACAAGTCTAAGAAAAGGCAGACGACTCATTTTTAAAAATATGCAGAGGACTTGAACAGCCACTTTATAATAAAAGAAGATATCCATATGGTCAAATAAAAACATGAGAAGGTGCCCAGCATCATTTGTCTTCAGAGAAGTGCAGATTTGTGCCATGATGAGATGATATTTAGCTACCAGCTTACCACCATAATAGCTGTCATTAAAAAGAGAGTGCCCAGGATTGGCAGGGCTTTAGAGCGACTAGAATTTTCATATTTTGCCGATAGGTGTTAAAATGGTAAAACACTTTAGAAAATTGTCAGTATCTATTAAAACTACACATATACCTACTCTGACTAGCAGTTCCGTTCCTAGGTATATACCTAAGAGAAGTGGTGCTTATGCATACCAAGAGACTTGCGCAAGAATGTTCACAGCAGTTCGTAGCAGCCCCCGATTGGAAATAGAATATTCATAAACATTATAGTAGGACAAATTGTGAGGATTTCACACAATGCAATACCACACAAGTTAGGAAAAAAAACCCTACGGATAAATCCAACAGTAGGATTGACTCCAGTAGACATAATGATGTTTCAGACACAGCAGAGTCCATACTGTATGGTCCTGTTTATCCTTAGATGAAACTTAAGTATGGTGAGAGAAGTCAAAGTCGCTGATCTGTGACGTGGGTGGGTATCTGTCTATTGTCACAAGGGAGCCCTCTGAGGGCCAGAAATGGTTTATTGAGGTGAGTGGAGGTTACATGAAAGGACATGTATGTACAGAGTTATTTATTATGCCATAAGATTAGCACACTTTTCGTAAGTATATTATGTATCAATTTGAAAAAAGTTCCTTTGAATAGGCAATAACTTTTTAGGTCCTTTGAAGATCTGACTTCTCAGTTGATACAAATAAATATCTAGCTGCCTCCACTTGGATTTCCTCTTAGAGACTCAGGTCTAGCTCTCCTCTGGAGCTCTTAGAGGCTGCACACTGCAGAAAGGAAGTAACTGAAAAGTGGGGCCCTCTTCTAGTAGCTGTCTTAAGGACAGATGTAATCTTTTAGGAAGACTCTTCCTCCCCTCAAGACACAAAATGTTATATATCCCTCCTTCTCCCACGTCTGTGGGAAATGTGTTCCTTAGTTATAAACCAGTATTTTATAAATACCTTTTTGAATATAACTTGTTTATAAATTGAGCCATGAGTACAGTACAGATGAAATAATTGAAATGTTATATTATCTTTGCTTTTGTAGGCTGTGAAATGTTTAAGTGAGGATACATAATATATTACTTTTATTTTAAGGACCACAGAATACTGGCCGTGGTGCGACTTCTGGCTTTGGTAGTGCTTTCACAGGACAACAAGGACATGAAAATTCAGGCCCAGGGTTCTGGACTGGCCTGGGAACTGGAGGAATATTAGGATATTTGTTTGGCAGCAATAGGTAGGCTGTGCATTGCACTCCCTTGCTCTTTAAGCCATTTTTTTTTTTTTTAAAGAGGTTTCTTTGCTCTGCTTACAATTTGACTGCATTTGGTTTTTCTAAGGGAAATAAATTATGGTGACCTTACCTTAAATCAGATTCTTGGAGGATGAGGTAGATACACTGTATGTGCTTTGATCAATATTGTATATGTTGTTTTCTTTCATTGCGTTTCTCTTCCTATGTTGTCCTCACAGATATTATGAGATAGGAAAAGACTATTTACTTGGCGTCTGAGAAAATGGGCAGATGGGAAAGAACAAAACATTAGGGGAATAGTTAGCTGTCTGACTCGGTAGGAGAATGGTAGATAGATGGTAGGTAGATTCTTTTTTTCTTTTGAGACAGTCTCCCTATGTCGCCCTTAGTAGAGTACTGTGGCATCACAGCTCACAGCAACTTTTAACTCTTGGGTTTAAGTGATTGTCTTGCCTCAGCCTCCCAAGTAGCTGAAACTACAGGCGCCCAGCACATGCCTGGCCGATTTTTTGGTTGTGGTTGTCATTGTTTGGCAGTCCCAGGCTGGATTTGAACCCACCAGCTCTGGTGTATGTGGCTGGAGCCCTAGCTGCTGAGCTACATACAGGCACCAAGCTGGTAGATTTTTTTTCAGTGCAAATTCAGAAAGAAAAGGTATTTATTCCCTGTCATTTTTCTCCTATAACAATGACCGTAACAGGGAAATAATTTATATTATGCCTTCCTTGATACACAGAACATTCAGGAGAAAAATGCTTAATAAAAATATTTTTTTCTGGTAGTTTAGAAATAGGAGGTGTTTAAAAATTATAATAAGACAAACATCTAATGCACACGTCTGTCTTTACAGAGCGGCCACACCTTTCTCGGACTCGTGGTACTACCCAGCCTGCCCTCCACCCTACTCCGGCACGTGGAATGGTCGCGCTTCCTCACCACTTCGTGGCAGCTCAGGTGGCTACTCAGCCTGTGCAAACGCAGAAACGAAAACCAGAACTGCATCAGGTAAGAGCAAAAATACAGAAAGTCCTCTTACATAGAAAGTTAAGAAGGTGATTATATGTTTAATAATCATGGATTTATTTGGTATAGTCGTCAAAAATATTAATGGCACAGTTGGCTGAGATTGAAATATAATTCAGATTTATTCCTTTACTCCTACTTCTAAACATTCCTTAAAAATCAAACAGAGATTTGATTTAGGCTCAGCTCTACCTTAGCCAAGGTTTCAGTGTAAATCTTCCTGGGTACTAGGTTCCACATATGTTTAATTCTGTGATCTCTAGGGATCATTTAATCTCTAAAGCAGAATTTTCTAAGTAGAGGGTTGAACTTTTTAAATTTAGTAATATTCAAAAGAATGTATTGAGCTATGCTTGAAATAATTGTCAAAAATATCATAATGTTTTCTGCAATGGGTAAGAGGATATTTTGGCAAAAGCAGACATAGACCAGGCCTGGTGGCTCATGCCTATAATTTTATCTCTCTGAGAGGCTGAGGCTGGAGGATCCCTGGAGCTCAGGAGTACAAGACCAGTCTGAGCAAGAGTGAGACCCTGTCTCTACCAAAAAAAAAAAAAAACCCAATTAGCTGGGCATTGTGGCAGGTGCCTATAGTGCGAGCTGTTTGGGAGGCTGAGGCAGGAGGATTGGTCAAACCCAGGAGCTGGAGTTGCTGTGAGATAGGCTGATCCCACAGCACTGTAGCCCAGGGCAACTAAGTGAGATGCTGTCTCTAAAACAAACAAACAAACAACCCCCTCCTCCCCAGAGATGTATATCATAAAAAGCAAAATAACTGTTTGGAGTTAAGCATGAAGCTAAATAGCAGAAAATGTGGTAGGTAATGAGTGGTAGTAGATTGCTGAGGATTATTATAAATTTGTATTTTTTCAGAAGAAAGTTGTCGAACAATGATTAATTCTTGAAATTGAAAGAAAAATATATCTAAATATGTTTTAAAATGTAAGAGTGGAAATCTTTTAGTGCTGGCTTGTATGTAATATGATACGTTCACTTTGAAAAGCTGGTATTCCTACCAAAATTCCACCTAAGCATACCCAAGACCTAACAGTTTCACTCTCAGCAATCAGAAATGCATGTAATTGTACACTGCCAGGTAAGCACGAGAATGTTCACAGCATCCCTATTCGTAATACCCTCCAAGTGGAAGCAACCCAGAAATATCAGTATCTGTCAGAAATAAAATGGGTGAATAAACTGAGTTATAATGATAGTTACTGCATAAAATGGTATTCTGCACAACAGTGAAAATAAACGAGCAGTTGTGTGCAATAACATGGATAGATCTACCAAATAAGCCAGAGAAAAGAATATGTGCAAAAGCTTATGACATTTGTAGTTTATAAAGTACATATTCCTTTTTTTTTTTTTAATAGACAGAGTCTCACTTTATTGCTTTCAGTAGAGTACTGTGGCATCACAGCTCACAGCAACCTCCAACTCCTGGGCTTAGGCAACTCTCTTGCCTCAGCCTCCTGAGTAGCTGGGACTACAGGTGCCTGCCACAACGACCAGCTATTTTTTTGTTGCTGTTTGGCCGGGGCCAGGTTCAAGCCTGCCACCCTCGGTATATGGGGCCGGTGCTGTACCCACTGAGCCACAGGTGCTGCCCAAAGTCCATATTCCTAAACAAGCAAAATAACCTTTGGTGTTAGATGTTAAGATAGAGGTTACCTCTGGGAAGAAGCAAAAGAAAGGTAATTATTAGGAGAATATATGCAATTACGGCTAGGTAAGACATACTCTGACAGAAGAAAACTCTCAGTAGAAATAAAACTTGCAAAAGAAACCTGAAAATAATTAAGAGACTTTTCTTCTCTTTTCTTTTTCTTTTTTTTTTTTTGGAGACAGAGTCTCTCACTATGTGGCCCTGGGTAGAGTGCTGTAGCATCACGGCTCACAGCAATCTCAAACTCCTGGGCTTAAGCGATTCTCTTGCCTTAGCCTCCCAAGTAGCTGGGACTAGAGGTGCCCGCCACATGCCCAGCTATTTTTTTGTTGCAGTTGTCATTGTTGTTTAGTTGGCCCAGGCTGGGTTTGAACCCCTCAGCCTTGGTGTATGTGGCTGGCGCTGTAACCACTGTGTTATGGGTGCCTAGCCAATTGAGAGACCTTTCGTTTTTTTTTTTTCTTTTTTGGGTAGAGACAGTGTCATTTTGTCGCCCTCAGTAGAGTGCTGTGGTGTCACAGCTCATAGCAACCTCCAACTCCTGGGCTTAGGTGATTCTTTTGCCTCAGCCTCCTGAGTAGCTGGGACTACAGGCAGCCGCCACAGTGCCCGGCTATTTTTTTGTTGCAGTTTGCCTGGGGCCAGGTTTGAACCCACCACCCTCGGTATATGGGGCCAGCGTCCTACTCACTGAGCCACAGGTGCCGCCCGAGAGACTTTTCAAATGGGAAGACTTAGTCTTGTAGCCTGCCTGTTTTGTGTGTGTGTGTGTGTGTGTGTGTGTGTGTGCGCGCGCGCACTGTGTCTAGATGACATTGAAAGCCCATAACCCTCCCCACCTTACCTCTTTTTACTTCTGGAGTTGGGAGAAGTATCAGGGCATGGCTTATGCTCCACTGGCCTCTATCTTTTTGGCTTAGACTTGGAATATTGCCTACACCATAGAATCCGTTGTCTTTTTTTGTGACCTAACTAAAAGGTCATTCCCAGCAAGCCTGGGTGGGTGTCGTGGGCTCTGTGACTAGGAGGGTTGACTAGGAGGGTTGACGTGGGCTGCGCTGCACTGTAACACACAATCTTGCGCCACCTAGCCGCTCATTCACTCCTTCCTTCCTCTTATTCATTTGCTAACAATGAACATGTATTACTTCTGTAATTTTGTAAGCAATTCCAATGCATCTTAAAAAAGTAATACAAATTTTATTCTCATTCTAGGATATGGTGGTACCAGAAGACGCTAAAGTTGAAAATTGAAGTCCAACATTGAACGCAAAATTTCTGCTCTTTCATCATTTTCTCTTTAGAAAAAGTGCTGCCTGCTACCATCTGGTGAAAGAGAATCTTCACAGTCCTGTGGTGTTTTGCCCCATACAGCCTTTTGTATACTATTATTTGAGGCCAAGTGTTGATGTGTGACAAAGTACTTCTGTATTGTGTGTTAGTGTAACACGCAGGTGTACATTGCAGTTTTGGAAAGTGATGTTTAGTCTGGAATATTGAAAATATATTATTTAATTTCTAAAACTTCTTGTAAGAAGCATTGAGAATGAAGGCGTTATGGAAACTGAGCACAGACAGTTTCAGTCGTAGATGGGTTGTGGTTGATGAGTTATTACCTCCTAGAGATGATAATATTCTATTTGGCATTATATTTTTTGGTGTTTGCTGTTCTTTAAACATTTAAACCAAGCTTTGGACTACTAATTATGCTAATTTGTGGGTTCTGACCCCTTTTGATCTCTAGAACTTCAAGTCCTTCAGTGGTGGTGGCCTTCTGGTAAGAATTACCTTTCTTTCTTAGGAAAAGGTAGAAAATAAGTATCCAGAAGGTTGTTGTGAATAATCGTGAGGTGACAAAAATGCTTGAAATCTCCATATTTCTCTAGTTCCCAAGAGGTAAAGTTCAAATGCTTCAATAAAGTCTTGTAATAGCAAAAGCATGCAGTTTTCTGTGGAATCTCAACTATTGTTATAACAGTCTGTTTCAATCTTAAATTAAAATGACAGCATATATAAAAACAAATGAGGTTAGTCTCTTTCTGTTAGCCTCAACGTAATGCAATGTTACTTTCTTTTGTACTTTTTCTCAATAGAAAGGCGTTTGTGCAGAAATTCTTTCTGGACAGTATTTTGTTATCATGCCTTAGTCATTTGGTGAAAGTTTTCAAAAAGTGATTCAGGAATGCTGTGGAAACCTTGCTAAAAAAATCTCAAAGCCTCCCAGAGACTGCTTGGTTACTCATGGATAAGAGTTATATCCAAAGAACCTTATCTTTACATTTTGGGAATCAATTTAAAACAAATCAAACCTTGATGAGACTTTAAAATGTGACTTGGGGTAGTTGCAAGGGTATTATGAATAGAGCTATTCTTTGTTCATCAATAAAACTTAGTAGAAATTTTGATTTAGGACTGAGGACTGAGTTTTCCTCAAGGTGAGTTCCTCTAAATCGTTACCCCATTTGTCCTTTGTAACAGGGTATAAAAGAGAATCCAGCTTAATGTCTTTTCCCTTGTGCTTACTGTTTGAGTTTGAGCTTATTCTTTGCTGTAGGAGTTGATGATCTTGCATTAAGTATGTTTTCTTGCAGAGCAAAGTAAAATTTAAAGCTGCTGTAGATGGGGCCAGTGATAGTGATTTGCATACTGAATTGAATATTCTTAAAACACTGTGTTCAGATTTCTCTCTCTTTTGCTCTGTTGCCTAGGTTAGAGTGCAGTGATATCATCATAGCTCACAGCAACCTGAAACTTCTGGGCTCAAGTGATTTTCCTGCCTAAGCCTCCAGAGTAGCTGGGAGTACAGGCACATGCCACAGTGTCCAGCTAATTTTTTAATTTTTTGTAGAGACTGGGTTGTAAAGACTGGGTTGCTGTGTTGCTTAGGCTTGAATTCCTGGCCTCAGGCAATCCTGCTGTGGCCTCCCAAAGTGCTAGGATTAAAGGAGTGAGTATTTCTACTTTTGAATATGATACTACAAATCTTTGGGATCTTAATGTATAGACAGTTGACTAAATCAGTGGCTTTTAGACTCCTCTGGGAAGCCCTATGTGGTATACTTTGAGGCTCTTTCAGAGGCTGGAGGGAAGGGAGAAAAAGAGGCAAAATGTAGGTCTTGAGTTCCTCTAACCACGCAGAGTGTTCCTTTTTCATTTTCTTTCATCACAAAGAAGTGATGTATCTTCACTTCTTTGTCATTTAAAGGAAAGACACAGAGAGTAAAAGACAGTGCTACTAAGTCTCACTAGGGACTGAGAGGTTGCTGCCAGGGGAAACTGGGGAGCTTGGGGTGCCTGGTTGGGTGGGTGTACAAAGGACAAAGGAGAGGTGAAAGTGAACTGAAGATAAGCTTTTTTTTGAAGATAAGGGTTTTTTTGAGACAGAGTTTCACTGTGTCACCCTTGGTAGAGTGCCATGGCGTCACAGTTCACAGCAACCTCAAACTCTCGGGCTTAGGCGATTCTCTTGCCTCAGCCTCCCGAGTAGCTGGGACTACAGGTGCCCACCACAGTGCCCAGCTGTTCTTTTGTTGTAGTTGCCATTGTTGTTTTAGCAGGCCTGGGCTGGGTTCAGACTTGCCAGCCTCTGGTGTATGTGGCTGGTGCCGTAACCACTGTGCTATAGGCACCGAGCCAGCTTTGTGGTTTTATTCACATGAGAGTCCGGTAGAACCTTTTGGATGTGGGAGGTTTCTGGTATTTTAACCAATTAGGGGTGTTGCTATACTTTCAAGCATCTGAAGCTCCTTGATCTCTTCCATTCAGACCCCTCTCTTCCAATGTTGCAGGAAGATGAGCCCCAAGGGAGAGAAGGAGCACCCAAATACCATGTTTATAAGAGGAAGGGCATTATTCACCTGCCAGGAGCACCTGCCCAACATCTGTTCCTCCTGGTCTGGCTTCTAATCCAGTGGTTCTCAGACTCGAAGGAGAGCTTTGAAAACTATTGCTTAGCTCCACCCCCAGTGTTTTAGATTTTGCAGGTGAAGCAGTCAGTTTTGTGTGTCAACTAGGCTAGGTTAACACACAAAAGAAGGTAGTTTGTAGATGTGATCATCTACAATCGGTTGCTTTTAGAAGAGATTAGTCTTTTTGGTCTGGGTAGGTCTGATCCAATCAGTTGAAAGGCCTGGGAATAGAACTGTAAAGTTTCCTGGAAGAAATTCTGCCAGTGCATTGCAGTTTCAGCAGGAGAGTTAGTGCCCGCCCTTCCTGGTGGTCTACACTGTGGATTTTGTCTTGGCCCCCACTGTCATGTAAGTCAGTTCCAGTAAATTTCTCCATATCTCCTACTGATTGTTTTTCTCAGATTGAACCCTGATTATTATAGATTTAGGTCCCGTAAGTAACTCTAAAGAATCTTCAGGATGTGTTTTCTGAATTGGTTCTGGGTTTTCTGGGATTTGTTTTCTAATTAGATTCTAACTAAAGGCATGAATGACTGTTTTCCAGGGGCAAAGGGGTGCTGACAGTCTATAGCATGACATGAAATAGAGATGCACAGATACCACATTTGGATACTACTGATGAAATGCCTGTAAAATTCAAGCGACCACACATTCCATATCTTAGAGCTTTTTAGTCAGAGTGTAGTGGAATGGGTGGATTATTTTTAATTGACCTGGACAAATTAGAGAAAGAAAAGCATGAGCTAAGGGCTTGAATTCCCAGCTGAAGCTTCATGTGAATGACCTGAAAGCTTTTGTGTCTGGCCTGAAAGAAACTAACTTCTTAGCCACAGGACTAAGATAAGGAAACCCAAACCCTGAGTCTCATCCTACAAATGGCTGTGTGACCTCTGCCTGAGGTTAACCCTGCTTGACCTGAAGGGCCTGTAATGTCCCCAGATGTGTTCCTCGTGAGACTTTGCTGACTCTTCCCAGGACCTACCCCTGCCACCCACCTGCTTGGCTTCTAAAACTATAACTAGACTCAAGTTCTAGCAGACCCTAAAGAATGAAGTAACAAATTGTGATCCATGAGGAGGTATGCTGCACCCCCAAAAACCATCATGATTTTTTCCAATCTACACAAATAGCAATCTGGGGGATTCATGTGCTAATGGGTCTTAACAGTGAAGATGGTAGAAGAAGCATAAAACTGAATCAGGCCAAATGTATTGGTAACGAGTCCGCTAAGCAGAGATTCTAAACTCAGTGTTTGAGGATGAGAAAGGACTCAGCAGTTTAGTTGGTTTGCTGAACATGGGCTCACCGATAGCCTGAACTACCAGAAGTGTGTTGGTCTAGAGGAAAGGATGGCATGTGTGTTTATCATGACTGAGAAATTAATTTGGGAGGGGGAGGGCCCACGAATTTCGTTGCTCTTCTATGTAGGTCAGAAAGTACAGTGGGAGCTGCTGCTGTCAAACTGGGACCCCTAGATGCAGTGGGGTTGATGCGATCCCAGGGCAGCAGGGCCAAAGACGACATGGCCTGGTTACTGCAACGGACAGCAGGGCAAAGCAGCAGTCAGATGGTCTGACTCCCAGACACCCATGGCTCTCGCTAGTGGGTCATGGTGCGCCTAGAAAATAAGTAGAGGGGCACAGTACTAAGCTTTTACCTGATTTGTGTAAATGGAAGAGTTCTAGGTTGAGTAAACAGAAGTCTAACTTAAATTACCAAAATCAAGTCATGGCCTTTAGGTCGTTTCCCAGACTTGAGCCAGTTTACAGGCCAGAATCTCTTCTTCAGTGTAGGATAGGTTGGGTCCTCTTGAGGAAGGTCCCTATGACACAGCTCTAAGGTTTTTTTTTTTTTCCGAGACAGGGTCTCACTTTGTTGCTCAGGCTAGAGTGCCATGGTGTCAGCCTAGCTCACAGCAACATTAGACTCCTGGGCTCAAGTGATCCTCCTGCCTCAGCTTCCCAAGCAGCTGGGACTACAGGTGTTCACCAGAATGCCTAGCTTTCTTGTTTATTTATTTATTTATTTACTTATTTATAGAGACAGCTGTTCTTGACAGCTGTTCTTGAACTCCTGAGCCCAAGGGATCCTCCCACCTTCAGCTTCTCGCAGTGCTAAGATTACAGCTCTGAGCCATGACTCGTGGTCCAGCCAGCCACATCTTTCTCCCAGTCTACTTTCAATGGACTTATGGCTATTTGCTGGGGTGATTGCGTTGGACAAAGGAAAATAATAAGATATTTTGGGAATTACTGGACACTATCTCTGAATTGACACTCATTCTAGGAGGCGATATTACTGTGGTTCATAGTTAAGAGTAGCAACTTGTAGAGTTTTAGCTCAGATCCATCTCACAGCGAGTGGGGCCCCTGGATACATAATTGAAGTAGACTCAGTAGCTGGCAGAATCCCTGAATGGGTTCCCTGAGCTGTGGAGCGAGGGGTGTGGTGGTGGGAAAGGTGGAAGCCTCTCAAACTGCCTCTACCTGTAGAAATGACAAACCAACAGTAGCTGTGACAAGGACACTGAGTCAAGGGGCTTAGAGGACGTGGGACCTCAGTTAGTAGGAAGAACATCCAAGTTAGAGTTGAGAGTTGGAGTGAGGAGGAGCGGTTACATGGAGGCAAAGCGTGTGAGCCCTGTACCCCAGAAGATGGTCTTCTTTGGAAATGGGTCATCACAGATGAAATTAAGATGAAGTTATGCTGGAATAGAGTGAACCACTAATTACTACTGTCTGTTACATATATATATATATATATATATATATTTTTTTTTTTTTTTTTGAGACAGTCTCACTGGCCCTGAGTATAGTGCCATGGCATCATAGCTCACAGCAACCTCAGTCTCTTCGGCTTGAGTGATTCTCTTGCTTCAGCCTCCCAAGTAGCTGGGACTACAGGCACCTGCCACCATGCCCAGATAGTTTTTCTATTTTTAGTAGAGATGGGGTCTCGCTGTTGCTCACGCTGGTCTCAGACTCCTGAGCTCAAGCAATCCACCTGCCTCAGCCTCTCAGAGTGCTGGGATTATAGGCATGAGCAATCATGCCTGGCATGACTCCTGTCATTAAATGGGGAAGTTTGTACTCAGACACACACAGGAAGAAC